AATTGATCCACCGTGTAACGGGTGAAAATATAAATCATTCGACATGTCAACATGTTCGCAATGCAAACTCTCATATGCGAAACATGCAAGAACTGAAGATCCTGACAATGAAAACTGAAAAGCCTCTTAAGGCAAAAGGTAGAAAGCGGAAAATCATAAAAGGGAAAACATTCTAAAAATTTGTCATGCAAATAATGCGTGGATTGTCTCATGTCTCAAACATAACTAAAAACTGACATGACTGAAAAGGCTGACAACATGCGGAGCAAAGTGGCGCTCGCACGCGCCCCCAAACTCCCCCCCCCCACCCAAGAACTCCCGGAACAAACTGTTTGGTCCGCTTCGCTCCCCAAACTAGGCTTGTACCGTGGAGTAACTTCAACACAAAGCCCCAGGGGCTTAAGGGAGTGGGGTTAGGGATAGGGAAGCATCAAGATGCAAAGACGCCACCTTCGTTTTGGTCCGCACAGCCCGATCTCGAATTCAGATGTCCGAAAGCACATGGAGTCATCGAGAGAACATAATCCCCCATCCAAGACGGAGAGGACTCCATGAGCGCTGAGATCATTTAACCCCACTGGCTCTTCTCGAATCTGATCCTTGGGGTTGCACCGACGTCCTCCAAAGTGGATGTCCTGATATCATCAATCTCCGACTGAAAGTTCGCAAACCTCAAAAGAGGAGAAAGAACTGACATGGTCATATCAGACCAGCTGAAAGGGATTCTAAGAGATCCATCAAAGTCCGAGAAGTTGTGCTTCGTGATGCGATCGGCCTCCTGATTGGAGTCCCTAGGCCTCCAGCTCAAATTGCACCTGAAGCCGAGGCCATCGCAGAAAGTCACGAACTCCATCACGACGAACATCAGAGGGACTCGAGTGGTAAGCAGCTTGCAAGAAAGCGCATCGGCAGATTTATTATCCGTCCCCCCGCAGAAACAAGCCTGAAAGAGACCAGGTCCATCCCAGATGCTCCGAAAGTCACGTTTCAAGATATGCAAAGCTGCCAGTGACGCCAGCATCTCGGCCGACGTGCTCGCCCATGAGCTGCCGAGGCCTTCCTTGAAAAGCCAAGGTACACTCTCCTTATCAAGCGTGATCTGAAACCACGGTGCCTTGCCCGGGTCCGGTCCCTTGTGAAGGAACCATCCCCCAAGAACAATCGAAGATTCATCGCAAGCAGCATCCGTCCTGAAGAGCTCCCCGAAGTCCTTTTCAAGGCGGCCTGAATCATAAGTCCTCGCCCCGAGTCTCAAGCGATCCGCGATAAACCTCAAGACACACCTGATAAGGTTCGGCAGGGAGAGAACCGCTCCTTTGCGCACAGCGGCGAGCCATGCGTATCCAGGCGCTAAGAAAGGACGGATCCAGACAAGTACCTGGGACATAAACCCAAGTCTCCCGTGCAGCTCGTGGAAGCGTCTCACGTCCACCAGCCATCCGTTACCTTCCATGCCCTCAATGCCACGGATGATCCAATGGCATCTCTTCTCTGAGATCCCCAACTTGAAACGACCATAGTCGATCCAATAACCTACCCAGTCAAGCTGAAGGCCGCCGCGCCATTTCTTCTCTGAGAACGGAGTTCCCTGCATACACAGCAAAGCCAACGCCATCCAAAGATTAATCCATCGCTCCGGACCACCGCTCAAAAGATGCAAGTCATCAGCATATATCAGCATGAAGACGAATGCCTCCAAAAGGATCCGGAAGGTGAGGCGGCCAACCAAGCCAATGAGGCGAGCAAACCAATAAGCCGCCGACGCTATGCCGAAAGTCCCAGTCCGATTTAACCAGACCACCGAGGAGTCGCTCCGCGATCGGCACGCCAGCACCCCCCAGTGATCCGGATGGTGCAAGTACCTCCGGTGAGCCTTCTTCACGTCCCCAACCAGCCCGAAGAGCACCTTCTCGTCGGAGACCGTGCCCAACTTCTGGATAGAAGAAACCTCCCTGGCCCCCGGAGATTCAAGACGGTCCTTCATGACGATCTCATTGTTTACCTGGACCCCGTGAGTCCCGTCATGGACCACTCTGAAGTCCTGGTCAGGTTTCGGAATCACTGCCTGAGCCGCCACGCGAAGCGACGATCCAGGATAGCGCTGGCGCGCCTCCGCCAAAGACAAAGGGAACATCCGGCCCTCTGCCTCCTCCTTTGCGAAGGCCTCAAGCAAAGATTTCTCCACCTCAGGGCCGTCCCGATAGTTCCCCATCAGAGGCTCCCATTCAGAATCATCGTACTTCTGGTCCTTCCGTCGCTGACGAAAGACCTGAGGCACCGGCCCCAAAGGTGCCGTGTGCCCAACCTCCACTCCGTT